CCACTGCAGATAGCGAGTTTAGCATAACAAAATCACAACTCAGGGAAGGATTCAATGAGGAGGAAGGATCTATGGCTTAAATTGCTAACTAATAGATGCATATACAGCTGAAAGTACAAATGAAAAATATTTTGCTGCTCTCCTCAGGAGCTTGTGGCCATTTTCCTCAGAATGTGCACGTTCCTGATGTAGTGAATGAAGCAAAAGTGATAGCTTGCATGTATGAATGAACTATCACAGATCTGTAACACCACAATACATCTTTAATACTCTTTGATGTTACCATAGTGCTTTATTTAAAAGGTAGTCTACACCTGTAGTTACAAGTCATAAAAGTGCAGTCATCAAACAATGCAGTAATGTTTTACTCAGCCTCAATTTAATTCAGATTTATTACCATTCTCCTGACCTTGATCACAGTGAAGAACCATTGTTTATATCATTTTATTTGGAAATCTCCACCCCCCCCATACTCTTTTCTCTAGGACAGACATACACAAATATTTCAGGCTTTTTCTGAGCAATGCATCCAGTGGGAGGGAAAGCAGCATGGTATAGCCCGATCTCATCAGATCTCAGAAACTGAGCAGGGTCAGTACTTCGTTGGGAGACCACCAAGGAAGACTCTGCAGAGGAAGGCAGTGGCTAATCACCTGTTTCTCATTTGCCTTAAAAGTCCCTTGCTGGGGTCACCATATCAGTTGCGACTTGGTGGCACTTACCTCCGTAATGTATCTAATATCTTTGACCCTTTTATAACTTAGGTTCCTTTTCATCTGCCATTCCTAATTCCTTCATAGAACTAAGATGTGATACCTAAATGAAAGCTTAATCAGTGTTGACCAGAGCAGTTCAGTTACCATCCCAGTTTTGCATATAGTGTTGTTACCAACATTGTTTTTGTGTTGACTGCAACAGTTTTGTCATTTTGACTTGTGTCCAGTTCATAATCTAACAGAACTCCTCCTCAGCAGTAGTTTCCTATGATTGCTGTTTACACATGGTATCCCCTATCAAGAAACATTCGAGTTTGATTGTGTAATCTCTTTTGACATTATGCCTTCATCGGATCCAGAAACAGCAGTGGAATGGTTTAGACCAGGCAAATTATGCTGCTTAGCTTTCTAAGAATAGTAGGGCTTCAGCTCCCAAAATGGCCAGTGCAGTCATCTAGTCAATTTTAAATTAATAGTAAAGATGGTGCTACTTTAATGCATTTTCTTCAGGAACTTTGACATTCTTTGTCCTCTTCTCCTTCCCCATAATGCTGTTTTTAATACTCTGAAGTGTTTCCATAACATCATATCTGTTTAAAATTCTTCCTCGCCCCTCCATCATCAGAATGGCCAAGGTTTCTTCTGTTGAAGGGCATCACTTTCTTAGAATGCACCAGGCTTGTGCTGAAGTCAGTCTGGATCTGATGTCAGCTCGAAGGGCTAATTTCAGCTTTGGGGTCCTGTATTCACCATCTCTTATAAATAACACATGAAGTGTATTGCATAGATTTAAAAAAAAGATGAAACCAATTAAATTTTAATGGGGGCGGGCTGGGGAGAGAGGATGGGGGAAAGAGACTCAGCTGCAATGATGCATAGGGAGCAGTATCGGAAACAAATTTACCTTTTCCCCCAAAGTGTGTGAAGTTCACCTATATTGTTTTTTTAAACCTATTTGTAAAATATTTGGGGATACATCTCCATTCTGTTATTCAATAGCATATTGTCTATCAGCACATTAAAGGCAGGTGGGACAGCGTTTCAGATTTCACTTTCTTTTGTTATGTTCCCTCCTCATAGGCCCACAGGTTTCCTTAACGAAAATGAGTATCCAAGTCTGTTCACATTTTAGAGCAGTGAGGCAAAACAGGTCCCACAGCTATCTCTGTTTTATCATGGGGATGTGGATTTTACCCAGCTGGCCCAAAGTCACTAGACCTTTGGGAGGAGTCACCCAATCTAGCTTTGTTCTGCCACCCACTGTCCCCAGAAGAAGCACATAGAAATCCATTGGTTTGGATTCTAAGCCTTGCTTTCATTTACACTTCTCTTTGTATTTTTTGGGGGTGTCCTCCACTGCAGCACTTTCATGGATAGACAGGAGCTTAGATCCATATTGTTTGGAGAAGAGGATTTGTTCTTTCCCCTTTCACTCCTTCCCCCCTGCTTCACATGTCTCTCCCTCCCAGAATTGACTTTTGCCCCATTAGGGGAAGTACACAGGTGTGACAGAATTAAAGGATAGTGGACAGCAGCAGGTAAATAAAGAAGCTGCGGAGTCACATGACTGAGAAGGGAGGGGGCCTTTTGGCTCGGAATTCTCTGAGTGACAGATAACTGTGGACAACTGACAGTTGGGAGAGAGATTTGGAAGAGAAGTTAGCAGAGAGCGGTCAGCTAACTGGATAGCTCTGAGGTGGAACAAAAACCTCTGCGGCTTTGTGGAAACAGCCTGATATCAGTTTGAGTAGAAAACTGTGGCTGAATAAAACTCTGCACTGGTACCCTCTAAAGGAAAGAGGAGAGTGAACAGTATAAGACCTCAGTAGTCACAAACACCAGATACATTGTTCCAAAGGAACTTGTAGAGGTGGCTATAGAAAGGGCTAAGGATCTGGAGGAGGCTGGAAAGGTGCCCAGTTAGACTCAAAGGGTCCAGACAAATTAAGTCCAAAGGTTAGCCACAAAACAGTTACTGGAGAGTGGAATCATAAGTGTGTTTAGTGAACTGAAGCACATCTGTGTAAAACTGAGAGTGATAAGTCTATGTGAAGGCAAAGTAAAAAGTTATATTCTACAAGGAAACAAAATATCCTATGTAAATATATCCCATCCCCCTGTTAGGCTTTGTGAAAAATAAAGAAGCTTACTGTTTGACTTTTACAAATACTGGTGCCTGACTTACCGATGAAAGAATTATACTGGGCAGTTGTCCTCCATACATCCATAAGTTATATACCAAAACCCCCGAAGAGACTAATGTTTATAGTGACCTGGTCAGATACAGTATAGTGAGAACTGATCAGTCACATCATAAGTTAAAATATTTTAAATCCAGTAAAACTATAAGCCTCTACAGGCAGTGACGCCACAGCTCGGTCACCCCAATGGCCTGGGAGAGGCCGTAGGGTGTTATACCAGGCAACTGGTAAGAGTCCCCCAACGACTAGACCAGCAGCGGGTTGGGATCAGGAAAATAAGGCAGAACAGAAAGAGTATGTTACAGAAAGCACACTCTTATATAGAGAGCATTATAGAAAAGAAGCAGAATAAAGATGCATGCGTGGCTTTTAATTACAGAAATTATGCTGGTAGAAAGCTATTTTCCTGTAGGGAGTCAAGTAATTACTTCAGGTTCATGCAAGGGATTTTTTTTTCTTTCCCCCCCCCCCTATTTAAACAACATGCAGTGTGAGGGCAATACCGCTCAAGAAGCACACATCTCATTTCCTTTGATGTGGAGGATTTGTTCTCTACCTGTTTCATCCACATCCGTACATGAACAAAACCTTTATTACAGAGTGTAACATACAAATTTAACTGAATTCATATGGAAAGTTACAAGGTTATCAGGCCCAGCCTTCTGTGTCAAGAAAGGATCAGAGAATAAGGTTAACCATGCTAGATCAGATCAAAAGGCCACCCAGTCCAGCATCCAACAGTACGATTAAAGTCAGCATTGAAGCACATATTGCAGACCATAGAGTGTCTAGGAGCAGAGCAGAGGCTTCTTTGATCTCTGCTTATTTCAGTGACCCCCACCAGCAGAGAGAGCCTGCATGTCAAATAGCTTCGGACAATTCAAGCTAAACTTCACACTATGGAGGAAAATAAGGGTAAGAAAATGGTAAATAGCTAATATTACCTAGACAGTAGAGTTCAGAATATCATGAGAGTCATATTTTGCTCATGCTAAGAACTGACTTTATGATACTTTCAGAGCAAAACTGAGGGAAGCTCAAGTCACATCACTCACCATCCTATCCTTCACTGTGCCAGCATCTAATGCCCCAGAAAAAAGTGTAAAACCAGAGTACACAGCCATCAGCACCAAGAAGTTTTAACTGTGGAATTAATTCAGTAGGCTTGAGTGTGTCTCTGCAATCATGAAACCAAGGCTGCAGTCCTATGCATGCTTATTTGAGAGGAAGGCTATTGAATTCAATGCAAGTTTGAGATTTAGAAAGCAAACCTAATAGAGCTCACTCTAAGTACTTGCCTAAGGCTGAACTATTCTCGGAGTTTTGTTCTGATTGGTACATGTGTAGGGCAATATAAAACAGGACTAAAACATTTCTTGAGATTCTTTATCTCTGGGCCAGTGCACATGTGCGCACACCCAAACCCTGGCACATAGTGGCCACTTCAATCTTGAATGTGTGAGTGTGTATATGAAGTAGCTTCTGTATACCTAACTGAATTATTTTGCATGCCATCATAGTGGCTGATGAGATTGCCTTTGTGGTCTACACAGTGCAAAGCTTGTACTGAAGGGACTGGGGAGAACCTTCTGCTTTTTTCCTGTAAAACTTTGCGGGCTCTCAGTTGTATGCTGCATTATCATGTCAGGAGCATAGGAACCTGCTGTCTGGATGTGCTGGACTGTGATATGGATGTTAAGCCATTCAGAGATCTGTTGACCAAAAACAGTTACTGTTTGTCTTCCATCATTTCTGTACAGCTGCATATGGTTACCTTTTACTTGTACATATCAGTAGTTCAGGCTAAGCAGTAGATGTTTGCCCTGCGGTAATTGTAGCCCTGACCTGGATGACTCAGGCTAGCCTGATCTTGTCAGATCTCAGAAGCTAAGCATGGTTGGTCTTGGCTGGTATTCAGATGGAAGACCACCAAGGAATTCCTGGGTCATGACATGAAGGTAGGCAATGGCAAACCACCGGTGAACATGTCTCACCTTGAAAACCCTATGGGATCACCATAAGTCAACTGTGACTTGACAGCAAAAAGAAAAAAAATGTGTCTGCATTTCTGTGTATCTTGCAGGCCACTGTCCTGAGAAGAGCCAAGGTGATAACCATTCCAATCAGAAGTACTTTGACTTAGAGGACTCTGAAATCTTCTCAGTGGAAGAAAATCATGAGGTGGTTATTGAAGATGATTCAACAGATCACACGCATAGTGCCACAAGGGATTCATCCTCTTTGACTTTAGAAAGTAAGTAAATCTTGGAACTACTAGGCACAATAACAAGGATGAGCCTTTCTTTTCAGAGAAGTTGTTATTTTGTACTCTTCTAGATATGGTTTGGTCAAGTCGCAGTGTTAGTATTCCCGTACCTTTAACAGTTGTGTGAAAGATAGAGATCTTCGACGTGGTCTCTGTGCATTTACACCCTTGGGATCTAGTGCGCACGCGCTGGATCGATCGGCATTGTAGCAAGCTCTTAACGGATTTTCATGCCCAGACCTCGGGCATGCGCAGGAACCCCACCGCGCATGCCCAGAGGGGTGGGCACGGACATCCCGCCAGTTCCTTTCATACCACCGCGTTGGAAAGACCCTTTCTTCGTCCGTCTGATCGGTTTGCTTTTTTGGCCACTTTGCCTCACGGCTCTTCGGATTTTTTCCTCAGTTTTATTATTTTTCTCACTCTTCTTTGTTCTTCAAAAATTTTTTAAAAATTGTTTTTTGTGTTGAGGATGAAGTTGCCGGTTTTACCTCAGTTTAGCCTTCGGGCTCCCCACCCCTTCTTTTTCCTCCTGGTATTTTTAATGGAGAAGTGGGGGGGTTTCAACTGCTGTAAGGGTTGCGGCAGCAAACTAGCTCCACCTGACCGCCACACCCTTTGTATTTTTTGTTTGGGGGAGTCTCATCGACCTGAGTCTTGCCGGCACTGTGCCAGGTTTTCTAACCAGACACGAAAAAAACGAGCTGCACACCTTAAAGTGGCGCTCCTTGAGTCGGCGTTATATCCTCCCTCAGCGATGGAGTCCGAGAGACCATCGACGGCTCCAGCATCAAGGCCTGCCTCCGACATTGGCCAACCAACATTGAAACCACCGGCATTGAAGGCGCAATCCTCCGCTTCCACTCAGGTGAAGAAGAAGCCCAATCCAAGTAAGGAGCATAAGTCCGCAAAAAAGGGCTCCTCTAAGGCCCTAAAGGCGTCAAAGAAGGGGAAGGTAGCGGTGCCTGCACTGGGTGATGCCCCAAAAGTGCCTCCCGCTCCAACGGCAGTATTGACATCAGAGGTCCATGCCCCTCCACTGATACCGACCATTCAGCTGCTGGACTCCCCTATACAACAATTAGAGGACTGTCCTTACTCCGATATCAAGACGGTACAGCTCCTTACTCATCCTATGGATGCAGAGGCTTCTCCCTCGCCTTCCCCGTCGTCGACATCGACGGTGTCAGAGGCTCCCAGCATCGATCCACGTCGGAATCGACACGCCTCTAGCAGCATGCAGCATCACCCTCCACATCTGCTTCTTGAACTTGCCGATATTGATGACCGAGATTATAGGGACCGCTCTCACAGACAAGCTGCTCCTTTGTCTCTGAAATGTGCCCGTTCCAGAAGTCGATCCCCCATGTCTTTATTCCACCACCACCACCTCTGTCTTGGGATCAACGCCAGCTGAGGTATCTCTACGGGGGTTATCCACCATCCATGCCGTGGTTGACTCCGGCGGGCTATTCAGACTGGGATCAGTACTCGACCCATTCTGTCCACAGATCAAGGTCACCGTACAAATCCAGACCTTCTGCATCTCTGTCTCGTCCTCCAGCAGACAATCCTTCCCACCATAATCCGGAACTTTGTCATCCTCCCAACCCCCAGGTCGTACCACCAAAGATTCTAACTACTCGAACGGAAGTCACTCCTATTCAGGTGCCAGATCAGGACTCCTCTAATTCTGCAGAAGAGGATTCTGATACCGAGGCCTCTGAGGTTGACACCTCTCCTGACCACAAGTCTCCTAACCAAGCTGTCGCAGATGATCTACCTATATCCCCATCTGACAATCTCACTTTCTATGCAGACCTTGTCAAGAGAATGGCCCATTCTTTAGGCCTCTCAGTCGTACAACAACAGCCTCAGGTTACAGATGCCGTCTTCGATATCGTGCAACTGGATACCTCTACTACCATTGCACTGCCCATGTCTGCGGTCCTTCTACAAGCTGTGAAAACACCATGGGAAAAGCCTTCATCGGCCCCAGTGTCAACAAGACGCCGGGGCCACATGTACAGAGTCCAGAAAACCGGAGCTGATTTTTTATTTTCCCACCCTCAGCCCAACTCAGTGGTTGTTACATCCTCATCCAAATCAAAACGAACACACTCTCCACCTTCTGACAGGGAAAGCAGAAAATTGAACGTGTTTGGGAGACGCTTCTATTCCACGGGAGCATTGGGAGTTAAAACCACAAATTACTTAGCCTGCATGAGCAGGTATCAGTACACCCTTTGGGAAAGGTTCTCTACACTCCTGACACACCTCCTTGAAGACAAGCTTCAGGCAGCCAGAATTATCCAGAAGGAGGGCATGGTACTTGCGAAACAGCAGATCAACACTTCCAAACATGCCCTAGACGCTTTCTCAAGAACAATGGCCTCAGCAATAGCTCTAAGACGGCAATCTCCCTCAAGATACTAGGTCTTATGTCGAAGACCTTTCCTTCGATGGCCTTGGTCTCTTCAACAGCACTACTGATATCATACTCCAAGATATGGATAAGAGCATAAAGGCCTCTCGCGCTCTAGGAGTGTCATCTTCCATGAGGCAGCAGTATCACCCTCGCACCTGGTCTAGGCCTGGGCAAAGACGCACCCCGAATCGTCAGTTTCCTGACAAACAATGGAGACCGCGTACGTCTCCGGGAAGCCAAAAACCAACCTTTCAAAAACCCAGGTTTGGATCCGGACAGCAGTTGTCTTGCACCAAGCAGGCGAAGTCTTCCAAGCAGGGTTTTTGACTTCCCTCCCACCTAGTCAGCTCAAACCCATCTTTCTCCCTTCCTTCACACCTGGCGTCATATCACCACGGACGAATGGGTGCTGTTCATTGTGACCTGAGGCTACCGTATCCAATTCCACCAGAACCCCATTACACCTGTCATCGTCTCCACACCCCCTTCCCCACCTCTCCTAGAGGAGGTGTCCATCCTTCTGCACAAAGGAGCCATCGAGCCGGTACCACCATGTCTACACGGGAAGGGGTTCTATTCCTGCTATTTCACAGTTCCAAAGCGAGATGGAGGCGTTCGACCAATTTTAGACCTCAGAGCGTTGAACTGCTATGTAACCTACCACCACTTCCGCATGGTGTCCTTGCAGCAGATTATGCCACTCCTACAGAGAAACGTCTGGATGGCTACCCTCGAACTCCAAGACGCCTACTTCCACCTCACCATCCACCCCTCCCACCACCAATACCTACGCTTCGCAATTGATCCACAGCATTACCAATATGCAGCCCTGCCATTCGGCCTTTCAAGTGCAACGAAGACTATGATTGTGGTTGCGGCTTTCCTCCATCTCTGGGGTATCTCCATCTACTCGTACATCGACGATTGGCTCTTGGTAGCATCCTCCAAGGATGCCCTGATCTCAAACATCAATGAGACTATGGCACTCCTGGAAAACCTGGGCCTATAAGTCAATTGAGAAAAGTCTCAACTTCAACCGGTCCAGAGAATACAATACATAGGTGCTCTCAACTGTGCGTCTCTTACGCGCCAGCAAGGCTGGGGACTCACATCATGGCTCAGCGCCTCTCGAGGTGGATTGCAGGTCTCATCCGCCTCTGCTACCTGATTGCCAAACAGCCATTGCCTGGCCTGATCAGGGCCAGGCAACTCGAGCTGTTGCGGCTTCCACTGCCTTCCTCCAGGGAGTTCCCCTAACGGACATTTGCAAAGCCGCTACGTGGGCCACGCCTAATACCTTCATAAGGCACTACGCCCTTGATGTCCGTAAGAACTCTAATACAGACATGGGACGTCACATTCTATCTTCGGCTACGCAGTAAGGACCTGCCAGCACCCTCCTCCAGGTAGGCTACTGCTCGCTAATCTACCATGGGTATGAAGCACAGAGACCACGTCAAAGATAAACAGGTTGCTTACCTGTAACTGGTGATCTTCGAGTGGTCATCTGTGCAATCACACCACCCGCCCTCCTTCCCCACTGCTGTCAGCTTCTACACTTTTCATAGGAGTTGATTCGTGGCGGTTTGAAGGAACTGGCAGGATGTCCTCGCCCACCCCTCTGGGCATGCGCGGTGGGGTTCCTGCGCATGCCCGAGGCTCCGTTTGTCAGATATCTGACCCTCTGAAACAAGACAAGATATGTAAGACTAACATAGGTAAGTGATTTTACCAAAGCCAATGTGTCACACTAATCAGGCTGCCTTATGAACTGTACCACATCACTCAAAAGTATTAAGGAGAAGCTGAAAAGCCATTTTAATTGCAGTGGGAAGGGGGAGTTACATCATTATAAAAGCCTTCCACACAAACAAGTGTTTCCACAGTCTTCTGACTCTGCTTATGCAGTTTCTATTTGGAAGTCTGGCTAGGATGCTTGTCTGGAAAAGAACATAAAAGAGCCCCGCTGGATCACACCAAACTTCAATCTATTTCAGCATCCTGAAATATTGAGAGAACTATCATTTAAAGAGAGGAAATAGGAGGGATGGAGAAATTACCCTGCTTGAACCCCTAAAATTCATTGTATTTGATGAGGAAGATCAGGGCAGGCAGGAAATTTCCTGTTCATTTTTACACACATATCCATTCCTTGATTATTTCTGTCTGCCCCCATGTTTGCAAAGAGGAGTGGAAATGTGCTTTCAGTGAAGGAGCTACCTTCCTCAAGAACATTATGACTCTCAGGAGTAATTTTTATACCATCTGTTCTGCTTGGGACAAGGAAACAAGAAGTATAATTTTTTGTTGTTGTTTTGCTTGGTATCCGAGTGTAATTATACTACAGCTTTTGAGACAAGTGATTTAATTTGTTGATCCTGCTTTACAGGCACTGTCATTGTAGAAAGTAATGGCTCTGAAGGAGTGGAGAGCTTAGGAGACACTCAGATGTCTGAGGAGATGTTGGCATTAGTGGACGAATTTGAAAACTCTTGGCCCCTTGAAGCATTTGAAGGGGCACTGGAAGTGAAAGGGCATCGGATGGACTTACAGGGGATCCGTGTCCTGAAGAAAGGATCTCAAGATGGACTTGGCAGCTCCTGTTTTGGAGACTGCAGAGATGATGATGATGAAGCTGAATGGGTAAGATCTCTCATTAGAAAGGGCAGCCGAAGTATCTCTTGCAAATTGGATCCAGATTTGCTATGAGCCTGTTCACATTATTTTGGATTCAAATTATTTCTCTCTCGGCAAATCATTTTGCTTCTGACAATGCACTCCTATTCAAGGTTACTCTGGCCATTCATTTCGCTGAGTTTAGAATGAAGTACTGTTCCCGAGGGTCTCCAATACTCAAAAGTAAGGTTTCAGAGGGTGCAAGCAGATGTTCTGAGAAGAAAAGTCTTTGTGAACAATAGGGGGCCACAGCAAGAATAAGGGAATTGGCAGAAATGGCCCTCTTTACTCTTTCACAAGTGCAGCAAAATCTGCAAATTGGGGGGGGGGGCTGGTTGGGAGTGTTGTGTGATTTTTGTTTTCTGGTTGCCTATTGATAGCCCCCTGCTCTAGTTCCCATACTCCTCCTAAGGGTTCCTCAGCACTCAAAAGCTGCTCTTCAGGGGTGTACGTAGCTGCAATGGAAAGGGAAAAGAGAAAAAAGATATCTTCTGCAAACATGCTTCATTCATCAGAAGGCTGGATCCAATCCAGCCCTGTGGTTAGGACATTTTATATATATATATATAATTTTTCAACATTATATACAGCCTTTAACAGATTTACACTTATATTTTCGTCATTTTTTCACATCGTATTATTCAACCATATATACAGTTTTTCCCATCTTTTCTCATATACATTCTGGTCTTTCCCTTGTAGTATTAAACTTAACCTATCCATTTCAGCCAACAATAACAAGTTTTCTATCAGTTCCTCTTTTGAGGGTATTATATCTGATTTCCAACATTTTGCGAACATTATTTTTGCCGCTGTAAAAGTAAACATTATATATAGATTTTCCTTATTACATTGTTCTGGAAATATATTTAATAAGCATACTTCTGGTACAAATGTTATTTCAAGTCCTGTTATTTCTTTCACTATCTTATATATTTTGCACCAATACTTTTGTATTTTTTCACATCTCCACCACATGTGAAAATATGTGCCAAAAATTTTTTTACATTTCCAACAGTTTCTATTTCCATTCTCATAGCATTTTGCTATTTTATCTGGTGTCCAGTGCCACCTATGGAACATTTTAAATATATTTTCTTTGTATGGTATGGCTCTCATCAATTTAGCTGACTTCCCAATTTTAGTCCATTGGTCTATGTCTATATTATGCTCTAAATCTTTCATCCATGTTATCATGGCTGTTTTAACTGTTTCGTCTTTTAAATAATCGGTTAGTAGAATGTTATATAGCTTTTGGATTAGTTTATCATTTGATGAGAGCCATATCTTGGTGGCTAGGACATTTTTTATGGGGGACCCGGCCTCAATGTACTTATGTCACTTTCTGCGTCACTTCTGGAAGTGACATAGGCATGTGGGGGGTTACGCCGGGTTTCCCTTGTCATTCTTCTTACTCTCAAGGAGTAAGAAGAGTGACAAGGGAAACCCAGGGCGGGCCATTCTCTATACCTCATGTGGAGGCAAGGCAAGCTAGTGGTGTCGCTCCTCTTACTCTCAAGGCAGAAGAGGCATAGCGAATGGACTGCTCCAGCACCTCCATTCTTCCTGTCTTTGGCCCAACTGAGCAGCACTCCCCTCTTGGCCCCAACAGAAAGGCAGGCATCCTGCATGCTGGAACTCCCTGGGAAGGCTGAGAGGCTTGGCCATCCAAGGCCACTCATTCACCCTGCTGCGGGGCAGGGGGGGGCCTGGGCACCACCTTGGGGATCTTCTGGAAGCCGGTGCACAGCTCGGTGAAGTCCTGCTCCAGGATGCCGGTGCACAGGTGCTCCTCTGCTAGAAGAGGGGAGGCGTGGTGCCCCGTGGGCCGAGCCTGGGGTGCTGCTGATCCCTCAGCAGCCAACCTGGCCTGGCAGCTACTACTGCTGCAGCCACGAGGAGAGGGAAGACCGGAACTCCTACTGGTGAGTGGTGATGAGCTCCTCCTTCAATCTAGTGAATTTCACCTCCAACCAGTTGAAAGAAAAATAAGGATCCCTGACGTATTCTGGAATTGAATTGCATTGTCTTAAACAAATGAATCATTATTTTTGAACATAATACCCAGATGGATGGAAGACTTCATGAGGCTGGATTTGGCAATCACCTTTGGCCTGGAACACTGATTTAATTTAAAATTACATTAATTAGAAAATTATGCTGATTACCTGCAGAGGTTCAGACTCATTTCCACTGTGGATCTCAGTGCTAAAACTGTTGTATAACCTTGTGCTTAAAGGAATTATTTTTATATATTATTCTATCTGTACAGTTTGATGCATTGGGATGCAAGCAGGATGGGGAGTGGCTACAGATACAAAGAAAAGAGAAACTGTCTGGCAGTTGCCCTTGAAATCAACTCAGTCTGCTGGAAGTCAGCTAGTGCTTCTTTTTTAACAGCATGCCTAATATATTTGGTTCCGTTACCCTCACAATGTTTTTCTTTGACAGATCACATTCCAAGTAAAACGTGTAAAGAAATCTAAAGCAGAAAATCTGGATCCACAAGAGCCTGCTGAAAGAAGTGGGGAGGATGGGGTAAATGGAGAAAAGGAGAACCTCTACCAAACGGCACTGGAGATTAGTGGGCCAAAAATACCCTCCCCTGGACCACCAGGTATATTTTTTAATAGCAAGAGTAAGATTTTTTTCAGATGCATTTCATTCATATATTATGAGATTCATACAGATCATATGACAGTATATTATGGAGTGTGATGCTGTGTGCACATTAAGAGCAGTCGAGTTGCTTCTGACTTATGGCATACTATGAATTAACGTCTTCCAAAACATCCTATCATTAACAGCCTTGCTTAGGTCTTGCAAACTGTGGGCTGTGGCTTCCTTTACAGAGTCAATCCGTCTCATGTTGGGTCTTCTTTTCCTGCTGCCTTCAACTTTTCCTAGCATTATTGTCTTTTCAAGTTACTCTTGTCTTCTTGTAATGTATTCAAAGTATGATTGCCTCAGTTTAATCATTTTAGCTTCTTGGGAGAGTTTAGGCTTGATTTCATCTAGACCCCACTCTTTTGTCTTTTTGATGGTCCATCCTCTAAAACCACATTTCAAAGGAAAACATTCTTCCTGTCAGCTTTCTTCATTGTCTGACTTTCACACACACACATACTAATAGGGAATGCTGTGGCATGAACTTCATTGTCTGACTTTCACACACACACACATACTAATAGGGAATGAATGCTATGGCATGGATTCACTTCATCTTGGTCACCAGTGACACATCCTTACACTTAAGAATCTTTCTAGCTCCTTCATGGCTGCCCTTCCCAGTCTCAGTCTCCTTCTGATTTCTTGGTTGTAGTCTCCCTTTTGGTTGATGATAGAGCCAAGGAACAGAAAATCTTGAACAATCTCAATTTCTTCACTGTCAATCTTAAAGCTGTATAACTTTTCAGTAGTAATTACTTTTGTCTTCTTGGCATTCAGCTGTAATCCAACTTTGGCACTTTCTCCTTTAACCTTTAGCAGTAGTTGTTTAAAGTCTTCAATATTTTCTGCCAGTAATGTGGTGTTATCTGCATATCTCAAATTGTTAATGTTCCTTCCACCAATTTTCACTCCATCCTCATCTAAATCTAATCCAGTTTTTCTTATATCTTCTGTAACAAATTGAACAAATAGAGAAATAAAATACATCCTTGTCTGCCACCTTTGCCAACTGGAACCCATTCTGTCACTTGATAATCTCTCTTGACAGTAGCCTCTTGTCTGAAGTACAGGTTGCATATCAAAACACCCAGATGCTGTAGCTCACCCAACTTTTTGAAAATGAATCACAACTTTTCATGATCCACACAGTCAAAAGCTTTGCTGTAATCTATTAAACACAAGGCCTGATCTGAATAGCCCCTGATCTTGTCAGATCTCAGACTCTAAGTTGGGCTAGTATTTGGAAGGGAGACCACCAAGGAATACCATGGTTGTGACTAAGGGGCATGCAATTGGAAACCACCACTGAATGTCCCTTGCCTTGAAAGCCCCACGGGTTCACCAAAAATCAGTTATGACTTGATAGCAAAAAAAAAAAATTAAACAGAAGCTTATTTTCTTATGAAATTCTGTCATATGCTCCAGTAATTAATGTAAATTCGCAGTATGCTTTGTGTTGCCCCTTCCTTTTCTGAATCTAGCTTGAACACCTGGCATTCCATATATGGTAACAGTCTTTGTTGTAAGATTTTGAGCATCACTTTACTTGCATGTGAAATTAATGTGATGGTTCAATAGTTGCTGCAGTCTTTGACATCTCCTTTGTTTTGGAATTGGAATGTAAATTGAGTCTGTAGGCCATTGTTTTGTTTTCCATATTTGTTGGCATATTCCTGTTAAGATTTTGATGTACTCAATTTCTGTGGTTTGGAATAGCTCTATTTATATCCTATCTACTCGTGATTTGTTTTTCCCAGTTGCTCTCAGTGCAAGATTTCACTTCATAAAACTGTAGGTTTTTCTTCAAATGACTTTTCTTGGAATGTGTGATGCTACACACATTCATTCTAAAATGGGTCTCACTATGGTCAGTGTGGTTTACTTCTAGATTAGTGTGCACAGGGTAATAAGGTTTATCTGTTTGAGAAACTGAAGTAAGCAAATATCTCTGTTCTGAGAGAAAGTGTGTGTATATGTGGGGGGTGATTGTTATACACTCAGTAAAGTTGGTTGGTTTGTAGGTAGCATGATACGATGTAGCTCAATAGGTAAAATCATAATGGTGTAAGTTGAATGAGCATGAAATGTGGTTCAAGTCCTCGAAGGTTCGGTAGATTCAGCAGAACAAAGAAACTAGTATATAATTTAGAGGCAAACTAACAATAAGGTTATGGGTTTCCATAGGTTTAAAAGACGGTAATGGTACAGTCAGGACTGGATTTACACCTTTACACTAAAGACACTGTAAAGTTAGCAGGCACTTGTGGCTTCTGCTGTAATGTAATTATTATTTTTGGTAAATACTTGTTTGTAGATAGTACTGCAGTATGCAATAGATAGAGCAGTGCCTGTGATGTTCCTTTTATACTTCCCACAGTCGAGATTACCATGTTTGGTCCCTTACCACAGGAGAAGGAATAAGAGTATAATTTCCTATTTGGGAGGAAAGACCCAATTCCCTTCCCTGTTTCATTTAACAGCAATGCCTACCATCACTACAGCCACATTTATCACCTTGTGGCAGGACATGTCTAAATCTGCTAGACAAAATTTGCAGGAATAATATATTAAGTAACTATATAGTCCTAAGTATGTTGGTTGGAGAATTTAAGTATTCTGTATGCAGAGTTCCCCCCCCCCTTTCCTTTACTACATTTGTATCCTGCCTTTTCCCCCTAGTGGGAACCTAAAGTGGCTTACAACGTTCTTCTCTCCTTTGTTTTATCTTCACAGCAACCCTGGGAAATAGGTTAGGCTGTGAGAGTGTGACTGGCCCAAGGTCACGCAGCAGATTTCCATGGGAGCAAGCAAGCAGTTAGATATGGGTGGTAGCCAGCTACAGTCATGACTGCACCAGCCCTGACACTGTATGTTTGAATGAAACTTTGGTAACAAAAGCAGTATTTGTGATTTGGCTACTGTTAGGGGAAGCAGGTAACTTTCATCTCCCTAGTTGTGCCCTCCAGTCCTTATGATTTAAACTGGTGAAATAGACCTTCTACCAGGGATCCAACAGTGGAAGCAGAGTCTTTCTGGAGACAACAGTTACTGATCTGGATCAGAACTACGTTTTCCACTGGCAATGGCACTTCCACCAGCAGAAAAGGGATGATGGTGATTTCAGCCAATTCCCCCCTCCTGCTGCAGATGCGGCTGCCAACAGTCTTGGAGAAAAAATGCCCTGCACTTTTAATAGAGGCTTAGTATGTGGAAATGAGTAGTGGAAGTATTTCATGGCATAGAAGTAAATAACATCCCATCAGGACATTTTTCTTCTCCAGGCAGTTGGCAGCCCTAACTACTGATCCCCACTTGGTCTCTATGCATTGACTAAAGATCTCCTTTCAGGAGGCACAGAAGAAAGCTGCAGCTGGGGATCAGAGGCTGGAAAATTTGTTCCCATGAGAAGCAGTCCACTTGCATTAAATATCATACATGCCATTGACAAATGTACAGGAAAATCAACTGTTTAAACTGTTTACTCTCCTTTTTTCCTTTTTTCTTGTTTGCTTCTTTCCAGGAAAGAGGAGAGACTACCGTAGCCTAGGATGGCCAAGTCCTGATGAATGCATAAAACTCCGCAGGGTAGACCTTACTACGGTGGCCAGCACCTGGCTAGCTGTTTCTGCTAAAAACATTGAGTAAGTATTTTCACTAAACAAAACTAGGCCAGTGGCACCAACTAGGACGGCCATTTATGGCATACAGTATTCATCCTAGTCATTTGATACAGTGAATTGTAGCTTTACTGTAGGTAAACAGATTGCCTTTCACCTGCTTTCACCTCTGTACTGTCCTAGGTTTTTCACTGCATATCTTTAATGTCAGATATGTCATTGCCCATTAACAATGCCCTCCAGCAGTTTATAACACTCAAGACCGCCCCCGCAGAAGTTATTACACAGAGGTCAGCTGACAAGACTCAAGGGTGAGCTACGAGTCAAATTTGCTGATGACACCAAATACAGGATGCAAAACCTAAAGGAGATTCTAAAATACTCCATAAGGATCTCTGACTAGTCTACAGAACACATGCAATTCAGTGTAAGGAAGTTCCAAGTAGTGCAAGTTGGGGCAAAACTTCTTGTTGTGTCCCCTCCTTTGATGTGTTCATTTATAAATGTACTAGCCTGCTACCCATGCTTCGCTACGGTGTTTAAGTTCCGTAAATCCAGTTACAATACTGACGATGTGAAATTTGAAATGTGACATTTATTGTAGGAATTCTAATGGAGAAGATTGTAATGTAAGAAGTGAAGTGAGACATAGGTACTTTTCTTTCTCTACTGAAGGACCTCTCTCTAGACCACATTGGTGGTTCTGCCCTCAGGTGCTAGGATCACCAGGCTGCTTGATGAGCTCACTCTGGAGCAGGCCACATAGAGCTGTCCATTTAAGAAGCAGTCGTCTGTTAAGTCAACTCCTGCCACCTTCCACGAAAGTGATGGCCTCTCTACTTGTGTTCCTGGATTGTTTTGCTCATATGGAGACTATGTTGTTCTGAGCATCTCAGGGTGATCTTGCTGGTACTTGGCCTGTGCAGCTCAGTGCACTGCAGGAGTACTATGTGCAAATGTCTTTGCCGCATTCCTAAGCTACCTCCTCCTTGCAGCGTTGGTGTATCTGGCTCGACATTTGCCAGGAGCTTTCTTGGGGGCAGTAAGAGGTGAGAGGTGTGAGGGGGAGTTGGTGTGAGGGAGTGGTGATGTGGTGGACATTTCTTCAGGTTCATGAGGGAGGCATGCATCGAAATGGCTCCGAGAAATGTCCTTTACTATCTTCCCATAAACATTCATACCCTGGCCCTGCTCCTACACCTGACAGACACCGGCCTGTCTGGTGTTGGGGGGGATTGAGTTTAAAGGCATTGGGGAGGCTGGGCCAGCAGCAGTGCTAAGGCAATCCTGCTGAGCAAACCTCCCCGGTGGCTGTAAGCATCCCACCTCCTCTCCTACATCTAACAGGCAGCTGCCTGTCCAGTGTAGGAGGGGGAGAAGTATTAGAAGCAACTGTGGAGGTGGGGCTGCACCTGCCAGACAGCCGCCTGTTAGGGTATAGGGGGTGGGGGGAATGTGTTGGAAGCCATCAGAGAAACTGGACCAGCAACTTTGCTTCACCTCACTTGTGGTTGTTGGCCACTCCTGATTTCCTCAACTGTCATTAGCTCTCTGCAGTCCCCTGTAACTGGGTGGGGTTTTTTACCTCAGAAAACTGAGCTCTGCAGCTGACCAATCAGAGAGTGGGAGGTGCAGAGAGGCAGCTGCATGGCAGCCGCATAGGAATCAATGGGGGGAGCACATTTTACCCCTTTTGACCCACTTAGGGGTCCAATTTCTAAAAATCCCTTCTTAGTGAGCACCTACGCCATGGTAGGAGCACTCTCCTCGAATTTGGTGTCTCTAGGCCCAGCAGTTTGGCCTATGAGTGTGTGGGGAAAAAGAGAAATTATTCTCCTCTACTTATAATACTAGAAGTATAGGCCACCCAGTGAAATTGCTTTTCAAATGCATCACGACAGACCAAAGAAAATACATTTTCACACAGTGTGTAAGTTTTGAGATCCACTGCCTCAAAGATGTGGCAATGCAAACAAAGTTCTGGGCTAGAGCCCCTCTTCTTATCTAACAGAGTAGTTCTTTCATTCATAAAGGAGTGAATGGACACAGACATAAAAAATGAACACATATAGGAACCAGTGGAAGAGACATTCTTTATGGACATTCCGTTTAATACTACAATTAAGTACTTTAAAAAAATCAAATTATTAGAGGATCAGACCAGTAGAAAATGGAATTCCTTGAGAAATCTGACATTTGACAGGGTTTCAATGAAGATTACATGGGATTATTTTATTACAAGCAATATTTCTCCCAGATTTAGAGATGCAGCCATTGTTTAGTATCCAGAAACGGATCTGCCAACAAATACTTGAGATCTGAAGTTTAGATTATATCTGGCCTTGCTTGGATTGCAGCTCTCAAGACATGCTTACTATTTTATATTTTAAGTCTCATCATCTTAATAAGGCTTATCCACTGATGTATCTTAATTTGTATGTTTGTGTACACACCTACTAAATTTGCTGTCTTTTGTGGATCTTTTGTATAGGCTTGCATAGGTTTAAATGTGTAACAGATGACACCATCTTGAAACTTTCTGTTTCTAAATGGTTCAAGAGTTTGGTTATTATTTATGTAGTTAAAAATGGATTAGGCATCTGAACTGATTTGTGATATAACAATCAGTGAGCAGCAAAAATTATTCTCATTTGGAATCTACTGGCTGTAGAATTTGCTTTCTTTGTAGTTATTAGTCTGCTAATCTCATAAAACTCAACACCAGTTTTCTTTACACCCCACCACCCCACTGTGAACAGTGTAACCTGATGCTATAAGACTGACTTTTTTTGGATTTGGTAACTTGCTCTTTGTAATTCACACATGGAAACCTTCCAGTTACTTTCTTATTCAGTGATTATATCAGGATGTTGCAAGAGAAGCTGGGATTGATCATGAGCTGTTTCTGTAGGCTGTCCTGTAAGAGTATGTTGCATAAGGTAATAAGAAAATCTCGGGGATCCATCAGCAGAAGTTGTTAGTGGATGCAGATCTTTGCCACATTTCTCGTTCCCCAGTTGTGAGATATGCACAGAGTAAGAGCCATGCAGATCAGGGGGAGCTATACTGGGGGGGGAAGAGGAGCTATTTTGCCCCATACCCCTCCTCATTGCAGCCCCCCTCACCGTGCATGTGACTAGTAGTCCACATGGATCCCATTTTCCACCTACTCAGCCTCTTAAACTCCTCCATTATGCCCAAATGTCACACAGATATACAAGTAAACTGCTTTGCTTTCAGCATGGAGACAAGAGGTAAGAAACAGAAGAAGTGACAGAGAAACATCCTGTCCCCCATTCCCCAGTGCTAAGGCAGAACAGGTTTACTTTTCAGGCCCATGTCTTAATATGCACATCTGTTAAAGATATCCTGAATCCAATTCTGAGAGCACAGACATTAAATGTCTAATAGAAAACCTATTGTTGCATTTGAATTTCTGTCTCTCGGCTGCTGCCTCTGAAGACTTAATTTATGATTTAGCCTTCCTTTCATTTTCAGTATTACAGATCACATAGATTTTGCCACTCAGCTTCAAGAACCAGCCGTGGAACCTGTCTGCAATGCCAACCTACCTGCCAGCATGCATACCTTGGATCACCTTCAGGGTGTTGCCAATCGGGCTAGCCTTCATTACACTGGAGAGAGTCAGCTGAAAGAGGTAGCTTGTGCTGTCATGCGGGCTCAGTACATGTAGATCCTTCCCTCTTGGAAATACTGCCTATGGCTAGTAATGATTAAACAAACTTCATTGACAGGGCATGATATCTGTGAAATAAATGCTGATAGATTGCTTCCTACTGAATTAAGGTATATGGTTGCATCAACAAAGGCAAAGCCTGCCCTCCCAACTCATTCTTCAGCATTAAAGCAGTTGCTCATGAATTTGATGAAGAAGAATGTACTAAAAATACCATCCCTGCTATTTATTTCATATTTGTTTTAGTGCCAGTGGTGTGCTAGTCCATCACATGACATGATAATGGGAGAGCGCCTGCCCATGCAAATGTGGAAGAATCAGTTTAGGGATAAGAGGATCAGAAGCTGTGGATGAGTGAGCCGTGTTGTACCATCACCTCTTCTTTCCATCCCCCACCCACTCCCCGCCATATACAAGTACCCTATCAAACAAGAAGCATCAATAATAAGCTTAGATATCAGCCCTTTTACCACCTCCCAAACACAATAGAAAGTAGCTGTGTGATCCATTGCTTACTTCACTGAGCTAATTTCACCATCAGTATCTCTCCAGAGGCAAGCTAGCAAAACTTGTTACCACCTTTGTCGGAGGGTTGATCACTGGAGTACCCATCCTGATGGTCCGTGAATAATAACCAGGACTATAAACTTGTTGTTCTGTTAATGAAATATGGACATTGTAACATGTTGCCAGATTTTGTACTAGAGTGATACATTTTGCAGTATATAGCATTGTTGCATTCAATATAGCATTACTGTCAAAGTCTTTCTATATTTCACTGTTATCTAGTTGGACTTTTAACATACAGGAAAGCTAACTGATAAATACGTCCGTTCTATACAGGATCAAAAGGGAGGATACAAATTATTGAAGCCACTGAGTTAATTTGGTTGTAACTTTTTTTCTGAGGGGTTGCCTTTTTTGCATCTTAGGTATTACAAAATCTTGGAAAAGACCATTATCCACCACAATCATTGGAACAAGTTGGTACTCGAATAGCGAAGGTTTTAGAAAAGGTAAGTACATAGAATGGAGGGCAATGCAAAATTTTATTGCTCTGATTTTAGCTGGAGGGCAACCTGTTCTGTCGTCTGTTATGTCTTAGAACAAGTTGCAGAACAATGTTACAGAACAATTTGGTGCTGAATCAGAACTTTTCTCTGCTTGCTGTTTGAAATAATCCACAGGTATTTTCTAGTGTATCTTCACCCTGGCGCCTATCCTGTGCACTTTTAGGCACCAGGCCAAACCATTTCTCTTCTCTCATGCTTTTAACTAAGGGTTTGCTCTCTTGACTTTTTTTTTTTTACAAACTCCTCCTAGATTGAGGACTGCTGTGAGGATCCTTTAGGCTGCTAGAGGTTTTATGCTCTGGGTTTTTATTAGCTGGGTTTTTTAAATTATTTGATGTTTTTATAATTTTATTTTGTATTATTTTATGAGCCACCTTGAGCAAGTCTCTGAAGAGGCAGCATATGCATTTTTAAAATAAATATATGCTCCCTGAGACATTCATCATAAACTCTTCCCACATGATGACGTCTCACTGCAGTCATGCTGTGTACTATCAGTCTCCACTTCTTAATCATGTGAGGCATCTTTGCTCTGCCATTGGACTCCTTGCTGGCATGGTCATGCTGCTGCAGATAATCTCCCTTGCACTTTCAGCTTTTTCAGCACTGTAAAGTGAACATGTAAACCTGCCTTTAGCAGGTGGTGTAATCCATCAGATCTCTTCAATACACTGAGCTATTCATGTATTAGCTTTAAAATTTTTGTGACATTCTGGGAATCTGACTGCATCACCCCTACATCAAGCAACAAGAGTAATTAACACTTTGACTTCTATTACTGGATTCCAACTCAAGAGTTCTAGTATGATGGAACAGGAAGAAAAGATCCTCTCTGTTCATTTTCTGCCTGGTGTCATGAGTCAGCCAGGACTCCTCAGGAGAAAAGGAACCCCATGTAGCAAGCCTTGAGTCAACAGAAGCTGACCAGCAGGAAAAAGCTGCAGACTGACACCTTCCAGTCCTGTTTCAGCAGGTGAACCTCAGTTGGCTACTTCCAGCCCACCGGTATCACCTACACCCTTAGAGCACCACAGATGATAGCTGAGAGCAGAGCTACAGACAAGACAGCAAAGTGCACACTTCCTGGCCTGACCCCAGCTACTTTCTGATAATCAAGATGAGTAGTTGTAGGATTGCTTCTGAGCAACTGGTTGCAAGCATGACCCTCAGGCGTGGGGCTATAAAACCAGTCAAGAGAAGCTGTTAGGTGTGGATACAATGCATATGATAGATGCTAAACCACTGACTCTGCCTTGCCTGACTTCTGAACCTCTGACCTTGGACAGAACAACTCTGGTTTGCCTGACTTCTGGACCCACTGACCTTGGACCAAACGACCCTGACTTCTGGCATCTGATACTCGGAGCCTGTAAGCCAGTACACCCACTGTGCAGAATTTTGTAAATTTATTTCATACCCCCCTTAGCAGGCATTTCTTTACACTAAAAAGCCCTACATTTCTTGGCCTTCCTCTAGCTCCTTAATGTGTGGTTGCCCTTTTCTGTGCCTTTTCCAGCTCTACAGTAGTTCTGAACTACTCATGCTATTCCAAATATGGATGCATCACATGCATTACAATACTGGCATCACATGCATTACAATATTTTCAAGTCTTTCCTTATTTATCCATTTCCTAATAACGTCAGTATTGGGCCAAGTAACTTCACATCTGACATTTTACTAAGAAGTCCCTCCAGAGTCCCTCCACAGCTTGTAGTCTTGATGGAAGTATAGCACAGTGTGTTGCATGTATGACTATCTGTCTGATAGGCAGAGCTGCAGCAGGTTAAGAGAACCTGATAGGGATGTGTAGATGCAGCTTTCAGTGACTTGCTAGAGATGTCCTATTGCCAAGAGAATGACGGCTTCAAGGGGACCTGTTCCTCATATGGGGAACAGATGTCTTCTTATTTGAAGGATAACTAAACTGGTCTGGATTATTTACATGGGTGATGGCCTAGAATTTAATTGTGAGAGTGTGTCAGGAAGCCTGTCATTTTAGGAGACTGAAGAGTCATAGCAGAAAAGAGTACAGAAAAAGAGTAACCAAAATTATTTATTCATTCAATCAATTTATACCCCACCCTCCCCGCCAAAGCAGGCTGATGACGGCTTACAAAAGATAAAATTTAAAACAATTGTAACATAGATAAAACCATCTCAAAACAATCTGATATCATTAGTGCTAGCTAGTTGTAAACTAATACTTAAGAATGGTAGCAACGGTCATGTTAATAATTATAGTCTGCCTTGCTCATCAGGTCATGTTAATAATTATAGTCTGCCTTGCAGACTATAATTATAGTCTGCTGTTTGATCTTTATCATATATATGTGGCAGGCAGTATGATGGAATCGGGGAACAGGGCTCTATCTTTCTCAGTTGTTGTTGGTAGTCTTTAGTAATGGTGTTGGTGGTGGTGTTATTGTTGGTGGTGGCTCCTTAACCAAAGGCCTGGTGAAGGAGCTCCGTCTTGCAGGCCCTGCGGAACTGTAGAAGGTCCTGCAGGGCCCTGATCTCTTCTGGGAGCTGCCACCAAGAAGCCCCTGGCCTTGGTTGTTACCAGTCTTTTGGGGCCAGGGAGGGTCAGTCAATTTTGCGACCTTGAATGCAGTGCTCACTGGGGTATATATGGGAAAAGGCGGTCCCTCAGGTATGTTGGCCCCAGACCATATAGGGCTTTAAAGGTGAGAACCAGCACCTTGAAGCAAATTCGGTATGCTATCGACAGCCAGTGCAATGCCTTTAACACAGGCTGGATGTGCTCTCGCATAGGGAGACCCATCAAGAGCCCAGCCACTGCATTTTGCACTAGCTGCAGCTTCCAGATTTGCGACAAGGGCAGCCCCATGTAGTGTTACAGTAGTCCAGTCTTGAGGTGACCATCGTGTGGATCACTGTTGCCAAGTTGTTGCGGTCGAGAAAGGGAACCAACTGCCTGATCAACCGAAGATGGTAGAAGGCTGACTTGGCAGTGGCTGCTACCTGGGCCTCCATTGTTAGGGAAGCATCCAAGAGCACTCCGAAGCTCCTAACCTCCAGCACTGGCACCAGCGGGGCCCCATCGAAGGTTGGGAGTGGGATCCCTACCCTCGGACCGCCCCGACTCAGGCACAGGACCTCCATCTTTGTTGGATTCAGTTTCAGTTAACTCAGTCTAAGCCATCCAGCCACAGCTTGTAACGCCTGGTCCAGATCTTCCGGCTTAGAGTCAGACTGGCCGCCCAACAGCAGATAGAGCTGGGTGTCATCCTCATATTGGTGACAACCCAGCCCATGCCTCCAGGCAATCTGGGCAAGGGGCTGCATATAGATGTTAAATAACATTGGGGAAAGCACTGCCCCTTGAGGCACTCCACAATTCAGTGGGTGCCTTCGGGACAGCCGCTCCCCTAGCGCCACCCTTTGTCCCCAACCTCATAGAAAGGAGGCAGACCGTCCTAAGGCAAACCCCTGAACTCCCATGCTGGCAAGGCAGTGGATCAGTAACTGATAGTCAACCATGTTGAATGCTGCCAACAGGTCCAACAACAACAACAACACTGCCTATCTGCCCCAATCCAGATGCCACCGGAGGTCATCTGTGAGGGTGACCAGTGCTGTCTCCATCCCATGGCCTGGGTGAAAACCAGACTGGAAGGGGTCTAAAATGGAAGCGTCATCTAAAAAGCTCTGTAGCTGCGTTGCCACAGCCCTCTTTATTATTTTGCCCAAATAGGACAAATTGAAGACGGGCTGGTAATTTGCCAATTCGGCCAGGTACAAAGATGGTTTTTTTCAAGAGAGGATGGACCACTGCTTCTTTAAGTGCCCTAGATTTTGCCCAAATAGGACAAATTGAAGACCAGCTGGTAATTTGCCAATTCGGCCTGGTCCAAAGATGGTTTTTTCAAGAGAGGATGGACCACTGCTTCTTTAAGTGCCCTAGGGAACAGTCCCTTGAATCATGAGGTTGGAGCACTTTCCCTGTGAGGAAAAGCTAAGGAGTTTGGGGCCTTTTAATTTAGGGAAAAAAGACAAAGGGGGATAAAATAGAGATTTAGAAAATTAGGTATGGGGTGGAGAAAGTAAATAGTGAGAACAAGATAAAAATGCTCTAAATAGCAAACAAGAAAGTATTTCTCCTAGAGACCAAGTATTTTCTTGATTTGTAGATACAGATTAGAGTACAAACCTATCTTAGTACCATGAACAGGACAGAAGCCTGCCAGAAAAGAAATGACTATACCTGAAGTTATTCAATAACATTCTATATAAAAAAATAATACTAAAAACATCAGACCATCCCTACTCAAGGATGGCTTAGGATTGCCAGCTCTGGGTTGGAAAATACCTGGAGACTTTGGGGGTGGATCTGGGAGAGGTGGGGTTTGGGGATGGGAGGGACTTCAGCAGGGTACCAGTCCACCCTTTAATGCAGCCATTTTCTCCAGGGGAGCTAATCTCTCTCAGCTGGAGGTTAGTTGTAAAAGCGGGAGATCTCCAGGCACCTTAAAGACTAACAACATTATTCCAGCATGAGCTTTCGTGAGTCAGAGCTCACTTCCTCAGATGCAGTGGAGAAAGTAAACTCTTACTCATGAAAGCTCATTCTAGAATAAACTTTGTTAGTCTTCAAGGTGCCTTTGGGCTTTTGTTTTGCTTCAATAGACTAACATGGCTACCTCTTCGGTCCTCCCCCCCCCTCAAAAAAAACCCTACCACCTCTTTGAAAGAAGACAGAACTCCAACCCCTGTCCATAGAGATGCTGATTAACTTAAGTCCCTAAGTTCTGCCTAGCTTGCATTCAGAAGTTCCAGCACTCTGTCCATAGTAAACAGGTTGAAGTGATTCAAGCAATTGTAGCAAGCAGCTGCTTATAGCACCTTGGGTCAAGATTCTACTATAAATAGCATATGGTTTGGAGAGGATCTGAGGATAATTGAGACAAACTGCCACAAAAAGCAAAAGATTAAACATCTTTTGGAGGATCACTTCTTGGCATTTTAAAAAAATCAACACCCTAACTAGCTCTGTAGACAGCAGATGACTAAGGAAAAGACAGTAGAGAGGATTTCTTCGCTTCCTTTACCAGCACCTCAGAGGTTTAAAAGAGAACTTTTTGGAAAGACTAAGCACAAGTTACTTCTACTCCAACTCCCTTTCTCCTTCTTGTCTCATGGTCTGCAGCTCCTTAGTATACCAGGGAGTTGGTGTCCTTGGTGTCTTTTGAGATAGGAGGAGAGGCCCATGGATACCTAGTTACTCATTCTTCCATGAGAGTGTCAATCATAATTGAATTTTGTATTTTTGTAGTTATTATGATAGGAGACTTATTTGTTCAGAAGTAAATAGAAGATGACTGATTTCAACATATGTTTCTTCTTCATGAAGTAAAATACATCAATAACTAAAGGCTCTTACTAATTCAGACGTATGGAATTCATTTTTTTTTAAGCCATGAGAATGTCTGACAAGATTTCTAAAAGATGCTAGATTTAGCCTTTGGAATGTATTCAGAGGAAATGAGGTCAGTAATTATAGAGTTGCTGAGAACCCCTGTCATTTCACCTCACTATCCAAACCCAATACAAGGATGTTATAATCGAAACAGGGTCTTGTATCCAGATAAGTTCCACCGGAATGCTTATTTTATCCATTATAACCTCTTATACTATTATTTATCATTCCCTTTGCTTATGTACCAAGGTCCTGGGTATCCCCCAAGTCGCCATGCTCCTTTTCTGAGATTGTAGGCCCTTGTTAGCCTTCCTGAAGAATAATCAAGCTGGTGACCATCCTGGCCTCACTCTGCCCGCCTGCCCCCAGCTGCCCTACTCTTTCAAGGCTCCTCCTGGGGAATGGATCTCTTGAAAGACTTCTAAATAACTGTTGAACATCACCACAGAGTGGCAGCATTGCTGTGCTGAACAAAAAATAACTTCCATACCTGTATGAAAGCAGATAGCTGTTGTTAATCATAATAAGTATCTGTGACAGTCCTTTGACAGGCGTTTCCATGGTCAGCCAAAGTGGGTTTTATCCTATAATCCAGTCAACTAGCAGAACAGTCATAAGACCCAACCTTGTATTATCTCAGTCAAAGATAAGTTTTCAGCTCCCTAATGTTAAAACAATCTTAATTATGCCCTGCTTTTCTTCCCTGTGGTGAGCCGCGGTGGCTCCTGCCAACCTAGCAGTTCGAAAGCAAGAAATTGCAAGTAGATAAATATGTACCACTTTGGTGGGAAGGTAACAGGGTACCATGCACTTTGGTGTTCAGTCATGCGAGCCACATGACCACGGAAATGTCTTCAGACAGTGCTGGCTCTTCGGCTTGGAAACAGAGATGAGCACCGCCCCCTAGAGTCGGATTCGACTGGCTTTCAAGCAGTTACTTTTTCTCCCCAATGGGGACCCTAAGCAGATGGCATCATCATTTTCCCCTTGACCATTTCACTCTCACTACTCTAAAGAGCTTCCTTGGCAGAGTGGGGATTCCAGCCTGGTTCCCCTAAATCCTCTAACCACTGCACCACAATGGCTCTCTTAGGATGAAAAAAGAAAATCTTCATCATCTCCGTCAACACTATGCTTTTAGAAGAAGTAAAATAATAAGGGCGTGGAAGAAATGATCTGATGCCAGCTTAAACCAGATGAGCCTTCCCATATTACACTAACATCTTGCTTGAAGGCCCTGTTGTATGTTTCCAACACTGTCTAAAGTGCAGTGGACAGTTATATGGGATAGTGTCTTCTCAGCAGTGTCACTGAGATTGTTCATCACCTAAGAAAGTCTGTGTTGCCTTGCTCTATCTTTGATGATTTTCAGTGTCGGAAAGATGTGGTACTTCTTCAAAAAGCCTTTGAGAGTTCATTGTGTGTTTTCATTATAAACTGCTGATAGTTTCCGCTGTTTCAGTTGGTGTGGTTTATTCTGATGTTTGTTAGTTCTTGTTCTTATTTTTAACATATTCTGTAGATTTTAATAAATATCATTGGCCATCATATGTATAAAAAAATAGAATGATTATTAACATTATTTTCCTTCCTCTATGCCACACCAGAATCAAACCTCTTGGGTCCTTTCCAGCATGGCAGCCCTCTACTGGAGAGTAAAAGGTCAAGGAAAGAAAGCAATTGACTGCCTCCGTCAGGCTTTGCATTATACACCCTATCACGTGAAGGTGTGTGTTAACACTGCCCATGTCACATATATTTGTGATTACATGCTTTCAGTTCGTACATAGCCAGATGTGCTATTTCCTACACTTCTTGTACACCACTAACCTGACTAAATTACTGAATACAGTTTCAAGATTGTTCTAAACTGTGGGTTGGATCCACCCCCTTCACTTTTATTCACATAATTCACCACCACAGCTATAAGCAGCCCTCTCCTACCCTGAGCCTGTTTGCGGGGAGGGTGGGGTATAAATCAAAATAATAAATAAATAATAATAATTGAAAAATGCTTCACAGTCAGGGAAAGTTCCATAGCGGCACGGGGAGGACATCAGCACCCCCTTCCCCAGCTACAAGAAGTTTTGCTCACAAAATTAGAGGTCTAGATCCAACCCTACATTTATTACTGTTACTGCCTGTGTCTGAATGATGCCCCAACAACAAAAGGCAAAGTGGGCCATAAACCCATACTTTAATAAAAGGCTGACCTCAAACTTTCAAGTATACCAAACTCCTTTTGCAATTCGGGAAAAATAGGAATGTTTATCATCCTCCCTTGATGGATTAAGCTGTTCTTACTACCATATTTACTAGAACAGAAGATGACCTGAATGTAAGAACTGCCTTAAAATGTTATACACACATTAAGTATAACTAGACATAACTTGTATGCAAATGTAAGACAGCTCACCCCTGTTGTGGCATACCTGGAGAAAATACTAGTCTTGTGTTTGAATAAATACTGTACTAAAGAAGTTCTTCTGTTGACATACTGTCAGTTAAAGAAAACAGTGGTAATCACAGTGGAACACATTGCACACTGAAAATTTGGCATAGTTTTTTGTCATCAGGCCTTAAATAAGTCTATTGGCAATGTAAGGAAAGAAAAGTTGAGCCTTACCCCCTAACTAGAATCAGCCTTACCAAGAGTCTTAATGGCATTCACTGTCCTGGTTCCGGCTACAGCTACAGATTCTGCCCACTGGATTTATTCCACTTTTCTTCTCTTTCAGGACGTGCCACTCATAAGCCTAGCAAACATCTTCCACAATGCAAAGCTTTGGAATGATGCCATCATCGTGGCAACAATGGCAGTAGAAATTGCCCCACACTTTGTCGTCAATCATTTCACATTGGCTAATGTCTATGTAGCAATGGTGAGTGAAGATTCGCCATGATCTATTCTGGTTACTTTACAGGAAGGTATAGAGTTACTGACGAGCAGAGTTTAGGAATGAAGACAGAATCCACATCTGGAGGTGGAATCAGGGTACAGTAGTACGATGAAGACTAGAAAGAGTCTTCCCTTTTGATTTTTCCCAGCACTGATAGTTTACATCAGCCAGCTAATTCTAGAACAGCAATCATTTTGTATTATAGATCTCATTTACAAGCATTTATACCCATATACCATACTGAGTCCATGTAAAGTTTTTTGCCCATGTAGTTCTGGCCATGTCTTTCCATAATATGCAAGTGATGCACCTGACAAGGGTCCAGAAGTCACTGCCATATAATTTAACTACACTACCTGCAAGTGCCACAAGGGCAGACGTTTTTGACATTATTCAAATCAGCAGGGCAACAACCCCGCTAGTACAAGTCAAGGTAAAATTAATCTGGAAAACATCATGTACTGGCTTTGCTGTACAAGCAAAGATCAGTATAGGGGTACTTGCAGATATTCACTTCAAAAGACAGGCTTCATATTTTTGAGAACATATGCTGGAAAAATCAGCAGATATAACCATACAGAAGCAGCCCCATAGCTAGGGAATTCTTTGGAATCAGCAGATATAACCATACAAATCTAGTTGCCTGTAATTTTAGTTTTCTCCTTCCATGTATCAATACAAATATTTGATGTTTCCTGTATATATATGCTTTCTCCTTCTGGGATTGTGGGCTCAGATGTTTACACCATATACTGCGATGTCCCATACCCTCATGTATTTGCTGAGCAACCCTTGAGAATTGGCTTCATGAAGGAGCCAAGTCTGACTCACAAAACTGTCTTATCTGTACGGTTAACAAGTGCAATCATACAAAATCAACTGTAAATGGACTATGGCTTTAGGACAATAACCAGAAGGAAGAGCAGTTCAAGAATTCTGATCACAACCTTTTTGTATGCAAAAACCAGGAAGAACAGGACAAACATTAACAGATTAGAGAACACAGTGTGGATTCCGCCATCTGCCTCCTAATGAGATTTTCTGCAGCAGATTGTGCCAAAAACTGCTTGTTTGGACATATTGTTAGGACTTCTTTGGACCAGAGCTCTAATTCATGAGAAATAACAATGGATAACCAGAAATGGTGATAGGACTGACATACATTTCTGCCAGTCTAATGTTCAAGGAAGTCTGGCGCTTTGGAGTCATTAGGAATGCATGACCCTCATGAATTAATATGGTAGATGGGTGGAACATCTTGCCATGAGAAATTTAGTAGGTGTGTTGGTCCCAGTACTTCTGTTTAAAATAAGGATATTAAGGAAAAGCAAAAGGGTCAATGCCATGAAAACTCTATGACTTTTGATGATAGTATTTCTTTTTCTCTCTGCATTTGCATTTTTTCTGACAAATTCCTGTCAGAATCCATCACTTTATATATACATCATAAATGATTGATTCAGGTGGGGCAGCTGCGTTGGTCTGAAGCAGCAGAACAAAGTTCAAGTCCAGTGGCACCTTTAAGACCAACAAAGCTTTCATTTGCGCACACACTTCTTCAGATATATTGAAATGGAAGTTACCAGTCCATACATATAAGTAGAGGGAGGCAGCAAATGAGCATACAGCATAATGAAGGTGTTTAACAGGACCAAACTGTTATCCCAAGGCACAATGATCCTGGGTCTAACTCCTTCTGCAGCGTGGTTTAAACCATGCTGCAGGAGAAGCCATCCCACCCAGGATCTTTATGCCTTGGAGAGTTTCCAAATGCCATCAGTGGGATCATCTGGAGGAGGGTAGGAAGGCAGGCACCCTCCAACAAGCCTGGGCCCACCTGAGGACTCCCTTCCTGAGAAATATTTTGTATTTAACATTGTCATTTGTGTGGTATTTTGATAACAGTGAACCACTTTAGAAGCCGATTATGGACTGAGAAACAGGATAATAAATATGTCCAATGGTTTTGGCATATTTTCTTAGTGCTTCTTGGTGCTTAGTTTTCTTAGTGCTTACAGGCACTGGGCAACTCTCTTTGTTTTGTAAAGCATTAAAAATGAAATAGTTCAACCTATCTAAGACTCCACCAGATTACCTACCTTTTCTCCAAATGTTTTGCAAATTATTCTGGTTTAGGGACTGTCTCTTGCAAGTGCCAGCCGGCCAGGTCTACTCAACTTGCCATTCTTCTTTTTGTCATTTAAAATCTTGAAGTACAACTCCATGACTTAGACCCAGTTCCTGTTACCTCTGTGATTATAATTGATGAAAAGCAAATACCCATGTTTCATTTCACATGGGAAGCCTTTTGTATGGTGACTGCCTGTGCAGTTTGTCCATACTGGTATAGTTTAAATATACATTTAAGTGATTTAAACTGGTAGTTACTGATCAGGAAACAAATCTTGGAGTGTCAGGGTAATTTAACAAAAACACTGGCACAGGGCCAACCTGTGTTAATGTTAATGGCCAGCCGTGTATTTCTGTTCACATATCTGCCCTCTTGAGGTGTAAAGTATGTGTTTTTACATTAAAAAAGAGTTCCCCCTACCTTACCTCATTGTGCCCTATTACTTTTAAGCACTTTTCTCTCCAACCTAGATTACTTCCTGTATCAGAGCTCAGCTGGGCAAAAAGTATGCTAAACAGCAAAGTACAGTGAGGTAAAGGGGGGAATTTTGCTCCCCTTTTCCATGCCCTCATTTTCATGTACAAAATTGCAGGAAGTTCAGTATTATAACCAATAGCTTAAAGCAGTAGTTATTCAATAGGCTTTGTTTATACCAGCAGACCATGCTAGGAACCTGTGTCTCTTCAGCCACTGATAGTTTTCTGTCTATGATCCCCACAGGAAGAATTCGAGAAGGCCATGGGGTGGTATGAATCAACACTGAAACTCCAGCCCGAGTTTGCACCAGCAAAGAACCGAATCCGTGCCATTCAGTGTCATTTACTCATGAAAAAAGAAAGACGTTCTCCTTAAGGATCACAACCTTCTACCTTCCCCCCCCCTTTATTTTTGTTTAAAGACAACAAAATCATTGTTCGCTATTCTGCTTATAATAAGGTGTGCTAAGATAAATTGGGAAACAAAAATTTGGGGTCATTTTTATTATTCAGAAACAAAAACATCTTTTGGGGAGACCTGCAGTAAAAATAATGATAGAAATGCTTGGTAAAATAAGCACCGAGATAAGAATCCTTTCACATGCCTGTGACCCAATCACCATGACATTCTGCATCACACTTAAATTGGTGCCAGCATAGAATATAACCTGCTTCTTGTCTTAGCCTATCTATGAAAATGCAAAGCACACTATTGCACCCGACACTATGTAGCAGGGAGCCATAATAGGCTTTTCATCCATTGGGAATTCATGTTTGACCCACCTCACTCAGTCCATAGTGTAGCATTACCAGCTCAGACATAAATTGGTAGATAGGAGTACAAGACAGTTACAGATTATTTTTTAAACAGTGTTTTAAAAACATACAGACCTTTTTTTAACCTACTGTGGTTTTCATAGGGCAAGGGGAGCAGGAGGAAAAGTGAGAGAAAAAAGAACTCATGTAAAATCATTTGTATTTTGGTTACAAGCAGAAAAAAGAATCAGATAAGAAAAAATACTGTTTAAGAAGTTTTGTATCCATATATATTTGAAATTCTCTACAGCCCTTGGTGTTTTTACTAATTATTCGTTACAGGATGTTTTACCCTCTTGAGAGTAAGATGCGAGTGTTTGTGGCATGAGCACACGCACTCTCTCTCTCACTCTCTCTCTGTTTCTCTCAAAGCTGGAGAGAACATTTTCACAAATAAGATAATCTGTTTCCAAATGAGCATCAGCTTGGTCAGTGAAAACCCCGAATCGTTGGGTCTCATTGCTGAATCAGCAAGGGCACATAAGTTGGAACAAAAATAAACAATTATGTTAATGAACAGAATGTTGGCCTCCACTTTCCATTTTTTTCTCTTACAAGCATTAATGCACTGTTTAAAATGCTATTCAGTAAAGATGAAGACTACAGAACATAGCTCATCACTACTCCTACTGTGGTTTGGGAACATAACTACAAATCAAGAAAACAGCTGGTAATCAAAGACCTACTAACGCTTACTGAGCATAGACTAGATTTTAAGTGCAAGGTTAAAATCCGTGGATAGGAATGTGGTTGACTGTTGAAAAACAGAAAAATTTAAAACAGACATCACTTCTGAATTGCTCTTAAATATCAGGGGGTTTTTTAAAAAAAGTTTTAACCTATGCTATGTGGGTTGTTGTATTAACATGGCAAAGACTTCCTGAGTTTTCTCCCTTAAGCAAAAAAGGGAGTCCAGTAAGATTATTCATTGAAAAAAACGAAACTTCGGAGAGATGAGAGAGTCTCTTTATTTAAGATTCAGAGGGGGCTTAATTAAAATTTGGAAAAAGTCTCCAGCCAAGAGTAACTAGCTTCTTCTGAATGTGATTTTGCAGGTCTGACACGCCATAGTAACACTCAATTGAAAATACATGCAGTATAAGCCTGTCTCGAAGTGAATGTACAAAGCGTTCTAAGCCAAAGGGCTTTTTCTACCAGAAGAAAGGCATTTCTGCTGGCAAGAGAAGGGTGCAAAGGTGCAAATTTTCCTGATCCCCCCCACCCCGCATATCAGTGCATCATGTTCAGTGTCATTTCTAGTAGTCCCCTTAGCTCCCAGGTGTTGGGGGGCAGGGGCACACAATGAACTGCAGTGGGAGAGAATAAAATTCCATTGGTTGAATGCAACTCAAGAGTTATAGCCCAACTCTACATTGACAAGGCATACAAACGAAACAGAAAGGTTCATACAACCAGGCCCAATTTTTGTTTCTGTTTGACTAGGACAAACTTCTAACACAGACTTTCCATGCTGATTCCCAAATACAATATTAAGTCACAAAAAGAAAATTTCCATTTTATTTCCAAATGTAAGTGCAAGCATATCTGGGCTCCTGGTAACATGTACCCATTTTCTTCCTTATTCCCTTGCTCCACGTTTAGGTGTTGTGTACAACAGGCAGACCAAGGTGAGTCAAATCTCATCTTTGCAAGGATGATAGGTGTAACTCAACCCACACTCTGAAGCACAGATGGACAACTTCAACCAAAATGTATATACAGTTTCAAGCCTAGTGAGAAAACTGAGCATAGGTTGCTTCTTTTGCCAGATTGGTAAGGTACTTTAACAGTGATGATGACTGAGTTAATTATATTTCAGAGAGTTACACTGTAACCCCATGTTACTCAACTCAGTCCTTTATTTTTTCACCAAGTAGCAGGATTAAAAACCTAGAAAACTGAGTTATAGAATAATGTTTCATAACTTGGCTTTGAATCTCCCCTAAAGACAAGAGGATAAAATGGACACCTAAGTATTGCACTTTTTGTTGTATATGTAGTATTGGGGAAAACATTGCTTTGGAAGAAAACGTTTCAGTGTAAGAAGAACCAGCTCATGAACTGCCAAGGTTGATTTATTTGAGCACTGCTTCCAACTCACTCTCACTGCTTGGAGCTGCAGCAAATGTGTGATACAACTTGTCTGAGCTTTGGTATATAGCAACATGTTTGAAGCTATTCCATGTATGCAGTGAATTATGGGTGTCTGCTCACGATATGGACCTTTATATAGCTTGCACAACTAGGCTTGTCAATCTAGTTTATCATTGTTTATAGCAATGACACCTGCAGGACTCACTGAGAATCCTAGAGTTACAGGTCTCAAAATGTGAAATGTATCTTCTTGAGAAGGACAAAAGGAAATACTACTTTACACAGACAATGATTAAAATGTGGAATTTGCTGCCAAAGGATGTACTGATGGCCACAGAAATAAACAGCTTTAAAAGAGGATTACATAGATTCATGGAGGGTAAGTCTATCAATGGCTACTAGCCATGGTGACTGAGGGGAACCGCCACATTAAACCTCTGAATCCCAGAGCCAGGAGGCAACATCAGAGGAAGGCCTTGTTGTTGGCCATCCAGAGGAACTGGTTGGCTACTGTTTGAGACAGGGTGCCAGACTAGACTGACTATTGGTCTGATCCAACAGGGCTGTTCTTATGTTCTTATCAGAAAAGGCCCAAGATCCTCCTTCATTGCACCAAGCCTAATAATGGCATGTCTTAATATCTCTAAAATGACCCATGAATAAGTCTTTTGATTAGGTATCCATACATATATGTTGACCACAGAGTAATAGTAAATTTTAAGCAGACTTCTGCTTTTTTTTGTATATTATCTGTGAAAACCTCAAGACATTCAAAAATATTGAGGGGCTGCACTTTTTGTAGGGGGGGGGAGGAAATAGGCTTAATGCCATTTAAAATTAATTATCCCTTAACACATTTAATGCATATCTTATGTACATTGTCAAAGAAGTTAAAGGATTACTATTTCCTGTGCATACTTGAGTTACATAAGTCTGGGGTACTCTCAGCATTAGTAATTATATTCATAGGTCCAAGTTTTTCTGAATTAGTTAACCAGTATAAGTTTAACCATGTGTATATGAAGGCAGGTTGAAGATCCAGTGGGATGTGATTAATGTTAAACTGGTTTTACTTTGTACTAGGAATAAGGCCTGTTGTGGAAATAAATACAACAAGTTCTAGAAACAGGCTCTGGGAGAGTGCCAAGGCCTTGGGCACTCATCATCAATGTGCTGTGGCGACCTCAGCAGGGTATAATGACACAGAGTCCACCATTTTCTCCAGAGGAACTCATATCTGCTACCTGAAGAGCAGTTGTAATTTTGAGTGATCTCCAGCCCTCACCTGGAGATTGGCACCAGGAGGAAATGGCTGGTTTGGGGTGGAGTCTATGGCATTGTACCTGTCTGATGTCCCACCCATCCTCAAACCTCACCCTCTTCAGGCTCCACCCCTCAAATCTCCATGAATTTCCCAACCTGGAGTTGGCAACCCTATCTCCTTCCCAGCCAAGCATCAACCTGCCATTATCTGCCCCTCTGATTTCAGCTTTGTATCTCCTCCCCCCTCCCTCCTGGAGATCAGTTATAATTCTGAGTGATTTCCGCCCCTCTCTTGAGATTGGCAACAGTGGTTCCCCAGGAGGAAATGGCTGGTTGGGAGGGTGGAATCTATAGCATTGTACCTGTCTGAGGTCCCACCCCTCCTCAAATCCCACCTTCTCTAGGCTCCACCCCTCAAGTCTCCAGGAATTTCCCAACCTGAAGTTGGCAACTCTTATCTCCTTCCCAGGCAAGCATCAATCTGTCGTTATCTGCCCCTCACTCTTTAGCTTTCCATCTCCCCCCCCCACAGCCTCTACAATGCTCTGAAGCTACGTCACGTTGGCTGTCATAGGGGGGCCATCTCAGCAGAGTATAAGGATGCAGAGTCCACCATTTTCTCCAGGGGAACTGATCTCTGCCATCTGGACAGCAGTTGTAATTCTGAGTGATCTTCAGTCCTCACCTGGAGATTGTCAATAATGGTTACCCAGGAGGAAAAGTAGTCTTTCTCTGCAGTGGGGACCAAAGCAGCTTACATCATTCTCCTCTCCCCTTTTGACTTGCACAACAACCGTGTGAGGTAGGTTAGGCTGAAGGTCTGACTGGTCCAAAATCACCCACTCACTTTCCACAGCAAGAACCTGTGTCTAGCAGATCCTGCTCTGAAGCACTGACTGCTACATCTAGAGTAGCCAGCCTCCAAGTGGAGCCTGAAGATCGCCAGGTATCACAACTGAACTCCAGACAACAAAATAACTGCTTTGGAGGGTGGGCTCTATGGCATTCTGTTCAGCTGAGGCCTCTCCCCTCCCCAAATCCTGGCTTCTCTACTTGGAGCTGGCAACCCTAGTCAGGACTGACCCCAATGAGTTTTCTCCCAAAGGCCAAAATAGGCATAGAAGGGTCTCCTCCCTCCACCTTTTACTGACAGAACCAAGCTTGGTTGCCTAGCAAAAGGCACTGAGGGAAAACTAGGGTTGCCAGCTCTGAGTAGGGAAACACCTAGAGATTTGGGAGATGAATCCTGTGGAGGGCAGCATTTGGGGAGGGGGAGAAGGAATAATGCCATAGGGTCTACCCTCCAAAGCAGCCATTTTCTCCAGGGAAACTGATCTCTGTCATCTGGAGATCAAATGTAACAGTGGGAGATATCCAGGTCCCACCTGAAGATTGGCAACCCTAGGGAAAAGTCAGCCACACAGCAGGGGGTTGAAGAGAATGGTTTGAAAGCCGTTGGCCCACCTCAGTAGCCAGCCAGCCAGCCATGGTGGAGCCAAACAGGAGAGAGCCATTTTCACAATTTATTCTGACAGAAAAGTGGCCAAGCTGGCAGTGGGCGGGGGTTATGCTGAAAGCCTGTGACTGGTCTGAAATCACAGCTTTCATAGCAAGAACCTGGGTCTGGCAGACCCTGCTCTGAAGCGCTAATTGCTATGCCTAGGGTAGCCAGCCTCTTTGTGGAGCCTGAAGATCGCCGGGTATAACAACTGAACTCCAGACAACAGACCTCTTCTCCCCCTGGAGAAAATAACTCCTTTGGAGGGTGGGCTCTACAGCATTCTGTTCAGCTTAGGCCTCTCCCCTCCCCAAACTCTGGCTTCCTTAGACAGGCTTCCTTAGACACAGAATATCCAGGAATTTCCCAACCTGGAACTGGCAACCCTAGTCAGGACTGGCCCCAATGAGTTCCTCACAAAGGTCTGCAAAGGGTTTCCTTCGTCTTTTTACTTTCAGAACAAAGCTTGGTTGCCTAGCAACAGCCACTGAGGGAAAAGTTGGTCCCACAGAACAGCCAAGCAGGAGAAGTGTCTTCGTCAGGAGAGACAGCCATTTGCTAGTTATTCTGACGGAACAGTGGCTGAAGTGGGAGTGGGCATGGAAGAGGAGCAG